AAATACAAATGGAGTCATCTTTAATAAATCATCTAATGCTATCAAATAATTTCTACTCATCACAGTGTATGAGCTGTAAACTCTTCAGCCAAACGATGATGTTTCCTTCTCAGTGAGTAAACCTATTTGGTGATTAACAGGATAAAAATAAAGATTTGAAGTCGTACACATGTACATAAATGCATCTTCTTCTTCCTACCAATCTTATCATCTCATGACACCTTATCTTTGACATGTGACCCCCATGTGGAGGCCTGGCCCCCAGGCTGGGAACCAAAGATCAAGTGGATAAAAGACAATAAGTCACATTCACTAGCATCTGATCGTATACTGGTAATAACTGCTGAGTGCTAACACCATGTGAAACAAGTGGCCCTCAGGATAGCAACGTTTAATGCTGATTTTATGCTGATCCATCAATTAGGTCATTTTGTACTTGGGCCTATGTTGATGTTGCATAAAGAATGGATCTCACAGACTTTGATGATTAACTGTCACCACGGTGAGGTTGACATTTGCAGTTTTGAGCCAAGTGTCTATTCGATGGATCGTTGTGACATTTGGTACAAACACTAATGTCCCCCTGAGGATGAAGTGCAGTCATTTTTCATGTGGCACCGACGATTATCACAATAATCACAATTTGTCCAATATTTTGTTCTACTGTTCCTGACACTCCAGTCAACCTCAGCTGTACTGTATGCAGGGGTTAGGGAGGGGTAGCTGCACTCTAATTGGTCCTTGACGTGCCCTTGTCCTGTCAATAGCCTTTTTTGTATATACAATACTACAATAAATGTGACAATTTTCAAAATCACATGCTTGAACAGGGAACAAATTTCAAAATCTATTCAATGATGTGAGGCTTTGCTCAAAGTTATAGAGGTAACAGTAAACAAGGAATGACTTAGATGTGCACCCTACTGTATCAGGAAGTATGGATGTTTAACATAATCGGCTCCTTGTGGCCCCTTTAAGGCCCCTGATTGGAATAATCCTAGATGCGCCACTGACTATATGTTAACATGCATTACTAACATAGATCAAGGTCATCAATACAAATACTAAAAATATGGTAGTGGGCGTGTTAGCATGAAGATCTAAGCATTTAGCCCAACGCATAGCCTCATAGAGCTGCTAGTGTGGCTCTAGACTTCTATATAAGAAGCAACTATGATATGTAAATGTGATCAGATGAAAAATATTTATCAAATGTATTAGATTCGATCTAATGAGGTTTGTGTCAAACTCACAACAATGATGAGAACAGATTAACTTTTCAGATGTTTGTTGACAATAATCAGACAGAAAATGTCATATTAAAACCAAAAATAGTATATTTAATGTATTTACAATAAACATACAATCATGTAATCTTTTCCAAGAAATATACAGAACATAAAGCTGTTATTAAATATAAAGTTATGTAATTTAAAGAAAAGAAAAGAAAAGAACCAAAGAAGCAATAGAGCATATCTAAAAGTCTTTTTTGATGCTTTGAAAATATAAGTGATATTTTCTTATTTCACTGCCCTTCTCCCTGTCAAAGGTCCCGTCACTGCAAAGAACCATGAAATTCATATATTGACTTCCACCCACAATCTAAGCAAACACATCACTCTAAAACCGTCACTAACATGGTTAGCACATGGTTCCACTTGAATTACAGGCAACATGCTGCCTAAATGCTCAAACCAAAAGATTTTTCGGTCTGCATATGAAGAGTTTCCTTCCAAAATAAGATCATTCCTCTACAAAATGTGACTTTCCTTAAGAAATGATAATAGCAACAAAAATGATCAAATGATGGACGTATTTACAGGATGACTGTCCATGTTGTTGTGAAAATGTCTCTTAAGAGACCTCAGATCAGAACATCTATGCCCACTCGTGACGTATTTAGGTAGCAAACTCTTCATATGTCTCTGTCTCTAAAGATCTGCTATAAAAGTCAACCTGCTGTTACCAAAAGGCAAGGTCATCAAAAGAGAATCATGGGAAAAAAAGAGGATGTAAAAAAAACAAAAAACTTTTATGCTCCAAAGTTATTTTCTCATCACAAGGCAAAACATCTCAAGCACATTTAGGTGCCAAAAGAAACAGTCCTGTCGCCGCAGGTGAATACAAGGTCAAGCGAGCGCCGTCACACTTTGCCAGCGCGTTGGACAGACCTACAATATGTTGGCTTCTTCTTGGAAAGTGTTGAATGTTACAGTGCACAGGTTGATATGGCACAACATGGGCTCCCGTCAGAGTAGAGCTTCATATCCAGGCACAGGTGCAGGACTGCTATCAGTGAAGTTTGGCTGATGCTCTCTCTACACTCCACCATATTTTCTGCACCATGTCAACATTGGCGCCACTTGTTTCAAGCAAAGTATTGTTTCGTACTTGGACCAAAGCAACAAACAGTTAGCTTTGCCACTGATGGAAAGACAAAATTAGACTATAACTTCACTAGTAGAAAAGTCCTACATATTAACAGTTATTACATCCTAAATAATACTGCTCTCTAGACCAAATGTACAATATTTTATAGGCAAAATGTTTTTCGGGACACTTTTGTATGATATGATATGGTGAAAGTAAGTGGAGGGATATCACAGAAAGGCTACATATAGCTGGACGATCTGCTCCGAGCTCCAGCGTGTTGAGACAGCGTTCTCAGCGGGACGTTACGGAACACTTCTATGGTGTCACTTTGGCACTTGTATGGCACTATTATGTACAGAGGAGTCAGCACTATGACACACTGGACGTCACAGATATCAAAGACAGCGTCACCTGTTGGGGAGGGGGTTGCTAAAGAGGAGACGGCGAACCAGCAGGTGATGTTGGTCATCGCCCTCCTCCCTGTTTTTTATTTATTTTGTTTTGTTTTTTTTGTACATTTCAGTCTGTCCTGAATGATCCTGCACAGAGTGAATCATCCCGTCAGGGACAACCTATCTCAGTGTCCAGTCCCCCCTCAGATTCACGTCTCAATGCAGAGCTAAACATCTGTATTCTCACTGTCACATCCACCCGAGCAGATGTTAGTCTGGTCCGGTTTGAGCATAGGTCCATAAGAGTTGATCTCAGGTATTCTATAACTGTGTTCTCCCTATTTGATAAATATGTCTCTGTGTTTCTTATGATGCTAAAGCTGCATCAATGTACTGTAGAGTTTATACTGTTGGTTCAGTGAGGTGCCAAACTAAAATACATCATATGAATAAATCATCTTCACCACTAGCAAACAAAAGGCTCATTAAGCACGGGTGGCAGCATAAAACTAAATAGTAGTTGACTTCAACTATAAAGGAACAATTTAACATTGAGGGAAAAACACTTCAGCTTTCCTGCCAGGTGATGAGGAGGTTGACCTCATGTCTGTACAGTAAATATGAAATTACAACCAGCAGCTGGTTCTGCTAAATTTAGGATGAAGATGGAAAAATAGAGGGGGGGAAACCATTAACCTGGCTCCATCGATAAAATCCCACCATGAGGGCGTCTATGAACATGTTGTATCTCATTACCCGTACAAAAAACAGGTGTGAAACCTTTATATGGTAGGGGGGATTATGTGCATGCCTACTTTTTGGCGTAGCGCTGCATCGCTTGGCAAGAAAGTGAAAATGTATTTCCCAAAATGATTAAAACACTTTTCAGTCTTAAACCCCAAAAGGGATTAAACATGTTTGGAAAATGAAATCTATTGCAATGGTGAGTAGCTGGAAAAACGTCCATATTTTTTGATGCAAAACATATTAGATACTTACAAAGTAAGCCAGAAAAAAACAACATACTCTACATAAACTGGATATGTCAGAAATCAGAATCCCATAGAAAACAATGTGTATTTAAAATCAGTCACTGCAGTGTGAGTGATTTTGAATCAGCTGAGTATTTTTTCATGTCGGCATCACAATGCAGTATGCATTATAAAGCTTTCCCGCGGTCAAAAATAGAATTTGCAGGCCATTAGAGTTAAATGTGTATTTAACCATTTCCATGTCCACCAAACTGCAGTGTGTGCAACTTAGTGACATACTGGGTATTTTTTTTATTTTTATCATTACATGCATTACCAGCATGCTTCTAAAAGAACTAACTCAGGCTGCGTCATGCTATGCTGTATCTGCTGACAGCTAGCCCACCACCATCATCATGTCTCGCTACGTTGACTTGGCGTTCCACTTAAATGTCTTCGCACTCTCTGTCAGCCTCCCCCTGTGTCAGCCCTATACTACGTACATGTGCGTACGCTAGAGAATGTTCTCTGCTTGTTATTTGTCGTGTTGCTATGTATTCCATGCATTTCTGCTGAGGGCGACATCCCAAAGAGTGGAATTACACCACCAAGTCAAACTGTGTTTCTGTCTTCATCTGCCAATGACATGAGTGACAGATGGATAATATTATGCATTAGAAACAGGTTCAGTTATGCTCATGTACCTAAGTCATTTATCCTCATCAGACTTAGGTAAGGTCATCATTTAAACAATTGGACTGGAGTTGTTTTAGATAAATGACCTTTTGGAAATTGTACCAAATTTCTATAAAGGACATAGGGAAAACAAAGATTTGTGTGAAGTAGAAAAAAAACCGTTGTGTGGTTCTGAAACATCAGAATCTTGTCCAGCATTCATAGCAAACCTCCTCAATACGACACAGTAAAGGGATAATTATTACATACTGGCTCAATGCTCCTCTTTCTTCAACAAATGTCCCAGAATGCCCTCGAGAACGAGAACAGGAAAATTCCACTGGAAGCAAGTAAGAAAGACAAAGTCATTTTGTAAAACATACAATACGATCAGTGTTATGTTTTAGCTGTTAAAAGGAAAACAAATCAACCCCACTTAGGTGTAAAGTAAATGACCACACTGGTAAAATAAATATTGTCATAGAACTTCCGTGCAATTTTGTAAAATACTGAACAATGAAGTTAAAAGTGATGTGAGATATTTATTTTGCACTTAATATGATGGTCTATGTCACTTGGGGGTTAAAGAAAAGTGCAATTATTTTAAGACGCTTTGGAAATCGATTTATTTGGTTTTGGTGTAGAGCAGTAGATATTATTTCTTTTCTGTCTCTAATCTCCCGAATCTTTAATGATGAGGCCAGAAGATAGAGTTGGCCTCTCTGTGTGTTAAAGTTAATTGAGTAAATAATAATTTGTTGGGGTTGCTAAGCCAATTACAAGAGTGATACTCCCTGAATGGAATGATCCCACTTGCACTACAGCTGTATGTTCTTGAAAAGTGCTAAAAAAAATAAGCTGAAAAATGCTTCATCTGACAGGGAACAATCACATTAACTCTCATTCTTTCTATCTGACTTGACGACCTGAGAAATATTTCCTTCTAAAGGAAAATAAACTGTCAAAGAAAAGTTGACGAACAAACGGATTTCTGCTTCTTACACAGCTCTGAGTTTGACCGAAAACTTTACTAAACCTAAATCTGTAGAGAAAATAATTCTGTTGGTGTCCTGGTAGAAGGATGTTGCAGGATGCAAAACACTTTACTGCAACATCCCTGTTTAAAATTGGTTCAAGTGTCATTTCTCCTTTCTCTCCCAGTGTTTGCTGTCAATCCCTTCTTGGGTGTTAAGTAAGTGAAAAAAGCTAAACAAAATCAAAAAAATATATCTGAAAACAAAAGAAGAAATTGAGTATAATGTGGATATTTTGGGATATTTTTTTCCTTGTGTTTTGATGTTTGGGTGAGAAGAAGATAAGACCCATACTGAGGACATTCTTCTAAATCAATATACACCAGAGAAACATTGCACATCAGGTCAGTTGCACACTAACACCTCCAGCCTGCAGTCCCTGTGCAGAACGCCACTATAAAACTGACTCCATGTTGTTACACGTCTCATGGTCCTCCAGGTTGTATATGAACTTTGTCCTGTTGGCCGGGTTCTGCGTAATCTCCTTGCCCAAATTGTCCAGAGTCACGTTGGAAGCGAAGAGTTCGGTGGGGGTGAGGTACCCCTCGCTGTTCTTGATGTACTTCCTGTAGTTCTTCCTTAAACACTGCCATGTGGTGGCGTACAGGAGGAAGGCAGAGGACTTGAGGGCGATGGCGATGCTGACATACAGGTGCCTGTAGGCCACGTTGTCGTACAGCATGCAGGCTCCCTTCTCGCCGCACACTGAGCTCCAGAACAGACAGGTAGAGTCGATGCCCATGCCGAAGATCAGAGGGGGAGGAATGAAGCCTGGAGTTGTGGACAGACAGCAGGTCAAAGGATCAAACAGAGAACCTGTTAGAGTTGAGGTTTCCTTTATATTCACACAGACAGAGCGAGGAAGTCCATTTCAACCAAGGGGAAAAATTGCAAGTTTACAATACAGAGTAAAACCACAGGACGGACAAACACAGTGGTGTGAGACTCATTACAGAATGTGATATATCTGTGGATATAAATGAAGAAGAAGTGTACAATGTGAAGTGTACAATAAGACTGGAGTATGAGAAGTGAATGTTGAGTTTCTTACCTATAAGTCTCAGCAGCAGAAACAAAACCCCAAGGGCGTAAGACTTCAGCTCTGGACTTACAGTTCTGCAACAGAGAGACGTCTTGGATGAGCAAAGTGTTCTATTGATGCAAATTCTGCATCTCAGCAAGCAGCCATTTGTAGCTCAACATATGATCGTCTGCAGTTAAAGAATAATTCCAGTTTACTGCAAACCCTGACTGGTTTTGTACTTTTGGCCATTATTTCTATTAATAGTAATAGTTGCTGAATTCTGTGAACACAGGGAAGTCTGGAATCAGTCAGGTTGCCAACATGCCACCAGTTTAACCAGATTATATGGAGTATGTTACTGTAATAATAATAATAATAACAATAATAATATTAATGCACTAAGACATTAATGCTACACACTACTGTGAGACAGTCGACTACAAACTAATCTTCATGGTATAAGATCAGAAATGTTACTGCTTTTAAATTTCTTCTGAAAACTTTCTTTCAGAGAAAACCTTTCATTTTGGGTGAATTTCAATTCATTATTATTATTATTATTATTATTATTAACTCATTCAGTAGAAAAATAGATGCCATTGATGCCAGGGTGATATCCACACACAACTACCCAACTGTCTGCTCTGTACCTTACAGTTTCCTTTATCACCATTGAGATGAAGACATAATGTTATGTTAGTATTTGTCTTTACTAGCGTCAAGTCTCTCCTCTACATTTAAGAGGACAAAAGTGACTGTGACGCCTTCATTTTGCCCCGATCGCAGACATAAATATCAACAGCTCCCTCTTGTGGAAATTGTGTATAACCACAGGTGCCATACCTGATAAGGATGATGACGGAGGGTGTCTGGGCCATAGCTCCGATCATGCTGCACACACAGATAACACACAGGAAGGTGAGGAATGCCTGCTGACAGCCTGGACTGGGACACTTCCCCGGTAGTGCCACGGCCTCCTCACTGTTGCTGGATATACACGTGCAGCTGGTCAGGTTCTGACACAAAGACAAGAGGAAGAGCTGAGTTACCCCTCTGTCTGAATGAATACATGAAGACTGCTGCACTGTATGAATGTGTCCCGTGGTTTTTCATTTCATAATTCAGCCTGTTGCCGTGTTTTCATCTCCACTCACTGGTTTGGTGCAGCCAGCGAAGCAGGCTGAGAGGTAGGTGACTCCGTTGGAACCACAGACAGGACTCACTGACGCTGTGTAGCAGTTACAGTTATTGATGCACGCTGACTCAGGTCGCTGCCAGGAATGCAACGTCCTGTAGAGGAGGTCAAAGGTCGTGTTAGGGAGGATACACATTTGTATAAGTTGTACAATGTTCACGTCAAATGAAAAGAATCATTTTGATCCTGCATGGACATCAGTTCATTTTCGATTAAACACAACCACGCTGAATAATACTCTAAAAGCACAATGTAATCAATTGTGCAAAAGAAAGTATTTCTTACAGCTGCATATGTATTTGAGTAAAAGTTGAAAACGTCTATCTGTCGTCATATTACAGACACAAAGCACAAGGGGAACACACTAACCTGCTTTTACTGTGGACTCATTAATGTCTAACAATGTTTATCATGTTGTTTCTAATAGAAGAAGATGAGATAAGCTACATGGTGACAGGAATTAGCTTTTGTGTGATTGACTCTTACACATGATAATGCAGGGACTATTTTATTATTTTGGGAAATGCAAATATGACTTCTGGACAGATCCAGGCTAGCTGTCTCACCCTGTTTCCATTCTATATGTTAAGCTCAGCTAACTGTCAGCTGGCTTTCAAGACTCCTCGTTCACATTGGCCTGTTATCACTCTTACTCATTGCCATAGGCCACAGTGACCCCTGCGACAGGCCCGGTGTCACACCCCAAGAAGAGAAATGAGACGTAGCAGGCAGTAGACACCAGGTTGACCAGCATGGCCATACGGACGGCGCCCAGAGCAGACAGGTTCAGTTTCTTCACCAGCAGCCCCCCGAGGAAGATACCCAGACAGGCACACGGGATGGCCGTCATACCTGCGGAGAGAAGGACAGGAATGTTCACTGTTCCCCCAAAAATCCTACTGGTGTTTTCCTCAGTAGTGTTTGTAACCAAGATTACACAAAGACAAGATGGGCCGTGAGAAGGTAGATGAAAAAAGTCATGCACATTTAGAGAACCGATACACGAGTGTGTGAACTTTGGTGCAGCTTGACTGAAGTTAAAGGGACTGTTGGGCCTTGGCAGAGGTATGTGCTCTACTGAGTGCCATTTTAGTTCTCTGTTTTTTCCTGTATAACCTTAACCTACTTCTTGTTTAATGGTAAACAATCGGCTTGCCTACCTAGCAGCTGATTGGCTGAAGAGGTGGTAAGGTTGAACTGCTGCTCCAGGTATTTTCCAAGGAAGGCAGCAAAGCCAGCAACCACGGCAATCTCCATGCAGGCTGCCAGTGTGATGCAGCTGAACACCGGATTAGAGAGTAAGTGCCTGGTGACTCGAGGGATTACTAAATCAATGAAGAAGAAAACAGAGAAAATTAGGAAATGTAGTTAATTATCTCTCTTCAACGCTTCTTACACTTTCTCACCATCCGCTCCCTCTGCCCCCCCCCCTTACTTCTCAAATGCTCACAGACCGAGAGGCCACTGTTTAACTCAAAGCCCCGGATGGTCCCATTGGGTTTGGAGCCCTGGTATTCCATGGTCAGGGAAGAAGGCAGCATGGCCTGCTCACTCTCCCCTCCACCGTCCATGTCCTGCTCGTCCAGTGCCTGGGGGAAGCCGAACATGAAGAGGGCCGACAGGAAGAGTAAGGCACCACAGAGGAGGAAGCCACCCCACCACGCTCCGATCCAGCGAGGGTCATCAGGGGTGATGTCCAGCTTACCTTAACAGGAGGCAGGGGAGTTTACCACAATGAATGGATGCTGATTAATGCAATATGATGACATTTAACAGCTCAATGGGATCTGGATTGATTAAAGTAATGGAGTACATTTTGACTGTTAGGTCTTTTTTTAATGCTTTTATTTTAATACTATGTTGCAGTATTCTTCATTTCCCTACAGTCAATTAAAAATACAATTATTGAACAGTGAACAATATCATAAATTCCAACTCACTGGTGTCAATGAAGACAGCATCAACATAGACTTTGGTACAGACGGAACCTAAGATGAAGCCACAAGCCGGGCCGAAAACTAAAGTTGAAAATAAAATACCTGCAAAACACAGAAGGACAGAAGAATATAGAATGTCAGTTGGTTAAAATGAAAGGAGCAACAACAACAAACATTCCAGTTAGTATTAGTACATAAAATCTGTATTTACTTCGATTAAAGTTTTCTTTAACTTAGTTTAGCTATAAGTGCACTTCACCTGATCATCCAGCAGAGGGAAGCATTGTATAAAGACTGGAAATAGTTTATTACTTGACCCTTTCAATGAATATGCTGTAACATGAAAACTACCTATGAAACAATTCTGTTGTTAAATCCACAGTATGATTGAGAATCAAATGGGTTCTTTAGAAGGAAAGATTAGATTTTGAATCCAAGCCAAGGACGTTCAATTTCAGTGTCACTATAATATGCAGCTCATGGGTTGCACAGGTTAATTGATCTAAGACTATGTTATCCAGAAGGATCATAAATAATCAAGCAGGAAATGGGTTATCAGTGTGAGAGCAGTGGGGAAACCGCAGTAGTTCAATTCTCTCCTATGAAAAGATATCCAGCTTTGGCCCAGAGGCTGAGAGGTCTGAAATGAGCAGCAGATTGAGCAGGGCTGTGAGTGAGTGGCGGTGGAACTCAGTTTTACAGGCTGGTGTTCAGTGGAACAATGGCAGTGATTAATAACAAGAGCCTGGCACAGAAGAGGCTGCTCCCTCCTCACAGATGACCCTCTGGAAAGGATGTAGTGATTGGTGCTGTGGTTATAACCAGTGAAAACTCTGAAAATGTGGTTTTGATTTCTGGTCGCTATTTAAGAATTTGGTAAAGCAATGTAACACAATATTAGCCATTCACGTGATTTTGGGGCATTTTATTCCCTTTTAGGAGACACACATTGGAAAGATGCTAGAAAATGTGGAAAAGGAGACAGAACATCAGCGTCTTAGCCCAATCTATAATTCATACATTCATTCAAACATATTTTAAATTTAATTGTACAATTAGTAACTCTCATCACTATGTTCAGAGATCCCAACCCTTACCCCGGACGCATATGTCCACCTTTATTCGTATGCCTAAAGATGGACAGATAAATGATAAAACCACATACACATAATAATGGTTTTAACAAGACAAAGCTTTGCTCACAGCTATAAAAGTCTGTACACTTACAGTCTACTGGCTGTACATATGCTGAATTCAGGCAATGCTGACACCACTTGTGTCTTGTGCTCAGGTTCATGCATTATCCCAAAGTAGTGCTAACCTCGCAGTCATACCAGATGAACACAAAAATGTACTACTTGACTATTTGTTTCTCTAAATATAAGACATTGCTATCCAACAGCCATCAGACTGTTAAATAGGTCACCACAGAGTACAGCCATTAGAAATATCATTAGTTATGCACGGCTGTGTTGTTCGTTATACACATTATGTTCATGTCAGAATAGTCTCTGATAGCAGTGGAGCAGGAGTAAGGTAACAGATGAGGTCAGAGGTTACAGCGGTGCAGTCGCTCAAACACTAACCAATGAACAGCCTCGCGTCACCTCCTCTGCCTGCCACTAGGGGTCAAATCACAGACAAACACAGGACAAGACAACTAATCCATAATGTATGTGATGCAGGCAGGCTGGCACACGCACACACACACACACACACAAACACAGCAGTGAACCAGCAGAAAATGTTGGCTGCCAGCCAGTCTGATCCCCGGTGCCCTGAAGTTGCACGTTCCCTCACTTCACTGTGAGCACTATCAGCTCTGCACTACCAGCTCCTCTATAGAGGGGAATAACGGAAGAGCCTGGAGTGGTCCTCAAAGTGAAACAGCCCACGTTAATGGTAGTAATAAGCATGATGGAGGAAAATTACACTTAAGCTTTTTTATGCTGTGAGATTATCCTTCAGCAACAGCTGCTCAACACCCACCAGGAGAAACATTCAGGACTGATGCCAGTCTGATGTTTGGACTCAGCAGCTGGTATTTGAGGCCACTTCCTCAGAGACGAAAAGTCAGGGCAGTGAGAATTTACTTTTGAGTTAATGTGACTTAAGTCTGATATAGTACAACTTATTATTATTATTTAGTAAAATCTATATATAGTATTCAAATACTGTATTGATGTATTTTGTCTCTGCTGATGCATGTTGTTTCTAAAAAAAATAAATAAAAATAGTTAAAATGGGTGGGTTTAAATATAAATATCGAGTCATATATAGAGACTGTGACCTTTAGGAACTGTCTTTTAAATTAAAAATGTACAAAACATTTGGTATTATAATTGTGTACAAGTTGTGGCCTAAACCAAGTTGTCTACATAATAATATATTATTATAATATAATAATAACTATTTGAGATTGATTAACTTTCAAATAATGCTGCAGTTTTACCAATATTTTGCAGTAAAGGCTCTAGAACCCTTCAAACATATATTTAAAAAAAAACCTTTTAATAACCTCAGTGATCCTTTTACTGATCCAATTTTACTTGAGATAAATGCTGCTACATTGTAATTTGACATGTTTTGCAAACAACAGCATTCAAATCATGATCTGCATGAATCTTTAATGCTTTGATAATAAAAATCAGCACTGCCGAGATAAGCTCATTTTCACAGGATTGGTTTATTAACTTTTGATTGCTCATTAGAGACTGACTGTAAATCTCTGTGGACGTATTGACTGTGCAGTCACTGCAGTTCTGCCTCAGTGTAACCAACGATGGAAGCTGTACAGCTGCCACAGGATCAGGTGCAGCATCATGACTATAAAAGATTATTTAGTGGTGATGGGACAATTTGCACTTCAAAAACACACGGTAGAAGATCGCATTAGCAGGAAGACAGGGACAGAACACTTGAATATTAGGAGACTTGTTTCTTTAAAACATTTCAGTCATTTGCAGCAAAAACAAATTTCAGCCAAAACGACACAAGTAAAAATCACTTGTTTCATATTCCTGTGACAAACGGCTGTATGTGACTTTGTGTGACAGAAATGTATCATTGACAGGATCATTTCTTATTATCTTCTAAAGACTATGAACTGTTGAGCCTCAGATACAGTTAACTCAGATACCGTATCCATGTAACACTGGCAGCTTAGTCTTTGTCTGTGTGACCCAGCCATTTGGAAATGGCAGGGAGAGACACCCCACTTCCACTGAGCCTTTGTAAAGGCTCCGACAGTTCGTCCTTGTGTGTAGTAATATCAAGCCAACAGCTAGATATCTAACTGCACAGACTATTTGCTGGGTGGTTAGTTATAGGTTAGTATATCAGGAGTACATAATGCCCTGAAGAACATTTACAATTTCTCTTTGCTTTTGTTGTCCACTGTGGCCGATCACATGATGCTACATACAAAAAAGATAGAAATGATAATCATATAGAAATGTAATGTTTGTGGTGTTTCTTCTCACAGCCCATTTGTGTGTACTTCATAATGTAATTGAATACAAAAGCATATCATTTTCTTCTGGATTGTTCAAGGCCTGGAAAAATTACAAATGTCTCAGAATCATATACAACAGTACTACAACACTTAGTAGAGTGCATAAGTCCATCAAGGTCCAACAGTACCCTTAAATTAAATCAGGCGTCACTAGATTTAACACACTTATACATATTAGTCACCTTAATAAGTCTGATTTTTCAAATTAAAATCCCCACATTTTTCCCTGGGAAAACCATGAAAATTACCGTTAAGAAAGTGAAAAAAAAATTCTGGATCCACCCAAATTGATCATTGAACCATACCACATTTTCACCAGACAAAAAATGCCTCTCTTTTTTTAATTTCTTTGGATTTTAGAAAACACAAACTTGTATCAAGTAATTTGTTTTTGCATTATAAGGACAGTTTATGTCCACACTTACAAACCTGGCCTCGGAGATGCTTCTTCAGCTGTACATTTATAGGGATAGAATGAT